GGATAGGGCAGTGTTTCGTTCTGCTGTGCATGGGGTCGCTATGAGTCGGAAACGACTTGACGGCACTTAACAACAACAACAACATTTTGAAAGGGGTGCTAAAATTACACTGGTAATTGCAGATTTCCCTACATTATTGCATTGACAGCATTCTTTTCTTGTGCTTTTCTGATGTTCCACAGAAATGAGCACAGATGAAAAATTTGGTACCACTCTTGACATCACCAGGGCTTTTTTCCAGTGTGGATTCGCTGATGTACAATGAGGTGTGAGCTCCGCCGGAAGGCTTTTCCACACACATTGCATTCATAGGGCTTCTCTCCACTGTGGATTCTTCGGTGTCCCAGAAGATGTGAGCTGTAACTGAAAGCTTTCCCACACATGTCACACTCATAGGGCCTCTCTCTGCTATGGATTCGCTGGTGTCCAAAAAGAGCTGAACTATGACTGAAGGCCTTTCCACACTCATCACATTCATAGGGTTTCTCCCCACTATGAATTCTCTGATGATGAAAGAGGCCTGAACACTGACTGAAGCTTTTCCCACATTCACTGCACTGGTATGGCTTCTCTCCAGTATGAACTCTCTGATGTTGTATCAGATGTGAGCTCAAGCAGAAGGCTTTCCCACAGTCATTACACTGGTATGGTTTCTCTCCAGTGTGGGTCCTCTGGTGTCTAATAAGGCCTGAGCTGTAATGAAAAGCTTTCCCACACTCATTGCATTGGAAAGGTTTCTCTCCAGTGTGGGTCCTTTGATGCTGAACAAGGTGTGAACTGTAAAAAAAGGCTTTGCCACACTCATCACACTGGTAGGGTTTTAATTGGTTGTGCATTCTCTGATGGTCAATAAGTTGTGAGCTTTGTATGAAAGCTTTGCCACATTTATTACAAGAAAAAGGTCTCTCTCCAGTATGGATCCTCTTATGTCTAATGAGGCTTGACTTTTGAGTGAACCTTTTCCCACATTCATCACACTTATGTAGTCTCTCAGTTGAAGTGTTTCTCTGATGTCTTTCCAACCATATTTCATGTTCCCAGGTCTCTCCACATTCAGCACTCTGTCTATTGGCTTGGCCAGGTATCTTTTCTTGGGATTCCACATCTACAGTAAGTTCTTGCTTTTGAGTCAACTTCCTTTCATCAGTTTTGATTGTATCATCTGAAACAAAAAGCATAGTATCCAAATGTCACTGGGATGTAGAGAAAATAAAATTAAGCACATATACCAGAAGTACATAGTCTGAAAAACAACAAATGGTTTTGTAACACTTGAGGACAACAGTGGGAGAAGGCAAAGGAAGAGAGACTTAGTAGATTGAAGATACCTAAAAGACATACATGATGACATACCATCCATGCCAAATAAATATGGAATTAGGAAACCAAAAAAGTAGAAAATGAAATAAGGTTAGGTAGTAGAAGAAAGAACTAAAGAATAAGCTTCAAAAAGGCCATGAAAAGAATGAAATTCAATTACTGGGATATTGCTGCCTTCTAGCAAAGTAAAGCCACTGTGCTCTCAATGTGTAGCTAATCTCAAAATTTTCATAAGTGATTTAACAGATGTAGACCAATATTTGACCTTGCTGCTATTGGGAGCTCTGGTAGCATAGTGGCTAAGGCACTAGACTGCTAACCAGAGCTGGTGGTTCAAACCCACCAGCCATTCCTCAGAAGGAAGATGGGTCAATCTACTTCCGTGGTGATACTGCCTCAGAAACCCAAAGAGGGGTCGCTATGAGTCGGGTCCGACTCGACGGCACATAACAACAACAACAACAAGCTACTGGACTTCTTTATTGGAATTTAACAAGGTGGTTCATTCAAGAAACCATGTTCCTTAGTGGAACCTGCAACTGAGGCCACTGCTACCATTTACTCTCCAAGAACAAGATGATCAGATGGCTATACTATACCTACAGTGGTTGTGCTGAAGTATACAATTACATTCTCTTTCTGCCTTAAAAACTGTTGTGATGTCACATGCCATTTGTAGATTATACTTGGTATACCTATAACCTAAGTTAGCAAATTTTAAAACCGCCCAAGGATTAGAACTCTGAATATCTAGATCTATCTTTAATTATCCACAGAGTAAGATCTACATAAACTCATTTGTTGCGTATACAAGGCCCTTCATAATCCACTGGGATTCTTGACCCTGCCTACAGATTAAAATAACCTAACCAAACCAAACACACTGCTGTCGAGTCAGACCCGACGCATAGTGACCCACCCCCTTGGGTTTCTGAGGCAGTATCACTATGGAATTAGATTGCCTCACCTTCCTTCTGAGGAGTGGCTGTGGGTTTAAACCGCCAGTCTTCTGGTTAGCGGTCAAGTGCCTTAGGCACTATGCTAGCCTAGAGAGGTTCAAAACAAAAGCAAAAATCATGCCCAAAGAAACCAAATTTCTGAGGGTGGGACCCAGGCACTGGTATATTTTTAAAGTCATCTAGATGTACAATGAAGGTTAAAAAATCCCTGCCTACCTTTCCAATTTCATTTTCTGTATCTCTCTATCCTCATACACTCTCTAAATATTAAGGAGTTAAAATCAGGCTTTAGAGACAGACTTCCCACTTCTGTCATTTACTACCAGGGTAGTCCGATGCCATTTTAGGATCCAAGCCAACAGCCTTACCTACCTAAAAGCCTCCAAGGGCAGCAGTGATTTGTAAGCCAGAGTGAGCACTAATGTTCATAATGATAAAGTTAAGCCTTCAAGAAGAGGATAGGTTATAGTCTATTTACTCCAAGAGTATGATATAATCTCAGATGCTTATTAATTGCTATGGCAAAGTTTAGACCAACAAACAGTAAACTTCAATTATTTTAGGGAAACTAGCATGTGAAATGTCTTACTTCCTGACAATGCTGTTACTGCATAATATAGAAATCATGGATTCCCAAATGATAATAAGTTGACCAAACATACCTCTATGGATAAGAAATATTCTAAAGTCATTGAAAGTCCTTCATATGTAAACAAGGCCATGATGTAGAAAGTATAATTCATATTCTTTAGATGACATCATTTTTAACAATGACATCACCACTACCATCAGACCTAAAAAGCTCTCAACCCTGATGCTTTGGATCTGTGTTCAAGCCATGAGGGGAGTCAGAGCATCTTTGTCCCCTTTCTAGTACCCTGTAAAGCTTTTGGACAAGCAGTCTAACTCTTGTATCTCTCCCTTCCTCTCCTTCCTATCCCAAACTGCCCTACTTTTGGCCCTCATAATGTGTTGGAGCTACAACAGTAGTCTCCAAAGTGATCCTTTTTCTCCTCTCCAATCCAGCTTACATCCAGCTTATATACTGCACTTGTTAGTTCCTGCTCAAAAAATAAATAAATAAAAAGAAAAAGAAAAATGAAAACCTTCTTAGGCCCTCTACAATTTTGTTCCAGATCACTTTGTTAGCATTATGCCTCTATCAGATGATGAGGCTCAGCCAACCTGATACACTCATGCCTCTTATCATGTACTTTCCCACATTATTCTCATGCTTGGACTTTATCATTCACTTTTACTGAACATCTCCTACATACCAATTGCTGGAGATACACAGATGAAAGCCCTTGCCCTGAAGGAGCTTCAGACAAGTGAAGTTGTAATATAGTATGTTAAATGCTGTGACAGAAGTATGCACAAACTGCATCACAGAGGGTATAGCCCATCTGACCTGTGAAGATATTAAGAAAGGCTTCCCTGAAGGAGGTGACAGCTGAGTTGAGTTTTAAAGGATAGATATGATTTAGTTTGGCAGAAGTGTGGGAAGATGTGGGCCAGGGGTATTTTATGAGTTCAATGAGGTGGTAATGTGTGTATGTGCTGGTGGGGGTTGGGGTGTGTGAGGAGGATATTGAGCATATAACTAAGAAAATTATTTATTTTGATGATACTATCCCTGTCCTGATGGTGTTGGAATGGAAAGAAGCATTGGAAGGAAATAAGTGGGCTGAATGACTTGATGTGGTTGAAGAAGAGAATACAGGGAACAAAGAGCTAGAAAAGGGGTGGGTGTGAGGAACATCTTTCTTGATACTCTGCCCAATGATATGCTTCCCGTTCTTCATGACCAGTTCAAATCCCAGCCATTCCACTATTGCCTGGCCCTGAAGAGATACATTTCTCATTTCTCAGAACTATGATCTCTGATTGAGGACATAATCTTTCACTTCCTCAAATTAATAGCTATCTTTTCATGAATACTCAACTCCTTTAGGTTAAGGACCCTTATACCCCGAGTTAGGCCTTACACACAGTGGAAGTGAAAGATACAGTGACTGACTTCTTAACAGGACCCACAAAGCCATCATGCCCTGGCCCCTAACTACTTTGTCTCTGCCACTTTCTCCTCCTCTCCATGCTCTAGTCATGCTGTCCTCCTTTTAGTTCCTCAAAGCCACCAAGTTGTTTCCCACTCAGTGATTTTGCACATGCTCCTTCAGCTTGGAATGCTTTTCCCTCTACTGTTCACTTGGCTAATTCCCACACCACTGTTCAGATTCAGCTTCCACGTTACTTCCTTAGAGATGCCCTCCCTGAATAAGCTCTCCCCCAATAAACAATCTGTTAATGGTATATTTATTTGTGTTTGTTTAATGTTTTTGCCTGTTACCAGCCTACTGTAAGCCCCATGAAATCAAGGATCATGTCTGCTTTGTTCACTGTATAACTAATGCCTAGTACAGTGACTGACATGGTGCTCAATATATACTTGCTGAATGATGAATGATTAGAAGGCCTCTAGGGAAGCCAGAGACCCCAGTGTCAATACTAACCACAATACTGATGGTATTGGTTCTGAGATTTCCTCTTAAGCTGGGTCTTCAGGGGTTGAAGCCGGAGATGTCTTGCTTCCTTAGCTGGCACTGATGGGACTGATGTCTCAGAAAGCACTTCCAGTGCACAGGGCTCAGCTGAAACCTGTGGACAAGTAGGCTCATTTGGGCATGTGAAGGGCCAATAGTGTATCTGCTCCCCAGAGAGCCCACAAAGACCAGTACACCCACTCCCAGCCCTACCACCACAGAGCACAAAGCCTTTTCCTACCTGCTGTCCTGGTTCATCCAGCTCCCTCTCAAGATCCTCCAGCATAGCCACTGCCTCCTCCCCACTCTCAGGATGATGCTTCTGCACCCAGGCCTGGAGCTCCTCAGGTAGGATGGTCAGGAACTGCTCCAACACTAGTAAGTCCAACATCTGCTCCTTGGTATGCATCTCAGGCCTTAGCCACTTACAGCACAGTGTCCAGAGCTGGCTCAAGGCCTCATGGGGCCCAGGAGTCTCCTTGTAGCAGAACTGTCGGAAGTGCTGGCGGAATAATTCCTGGTTGTTTGGGCTGCTGCCTTTCGGGCTAGATCCCTGCCCCCTGTCAGGCCTTTCTTTGTTATTTTGAAGAGCCCCTTAAGCTCTTCAGAAGCTGGTGGAAGAAGCATGGTGGCCATTCCACCTCCAAGAGGCTGAGAGAAGGATTGCTGCTGCAAGTGTTATTTTTTAGGGCACACTCCTAAGATTATAGAAACCACAGTTAAAAAGAGAAATGTACACACAGGTGATGTAGTACCCGAGGTCATTCACTGAGTCTAATACCTGTTATGGAAGAAAAATGAGGCTTAGCATGAAATGAAAGAGATTTTAAAAATTAAGTTTAATGCTTTCAAACTTTTTGTGCAAGCAGAAGGAATGTTTGTCAAACAGCATTCTTGGCAATATTGAGAATACTTTTGGATTCTTTGCTTATTATTAGCCTATTACTAAGGCAAAACTTTTATATTCTTACAGGTGATAGAATACTACCTGGCAGTCTTAGTAGCATCTCTAAAGGAGAAGGGCAAAGTTAGGATATTTACGAGGTTTGGGGGTGGGTTTAAGATGGATCTTTCAAAGCAGGCTTTGGATTGGGTAAGGATCTCTGGTAGTGTAGTGCCTAAGGCACTTGACTACTAACCAGAAGACTGGCGGTTCAAACCCACCAGCCACTCCTCGGAAGGAAGGTTGGGCAATCTACTTCCGTAGTAATACTGCCTCGGAAACCCAAGGAGGGGTCACTATGAGTTAGGTCCGACTTGACGTCACATAACAACAATAACATAATCGTTTAAGACTGATGGACGTGGCAATATGAAGGTTTTGTGGTGAAGGTTTCAGTCTGTATGCTGACATTGTAAAGTTGAATAGTTTGATGTTCACCTAAATGGATTGAGGGGGAAGTTCTTGAAACAAAGTTATTAACAGTTTCCTGCAATTCTAAAGTCACCATGATAAGACAGTGGGATGTTGTTGTTAGGTGCCATTGAGTGGGTTCCAACTCATAGCAACCCTATGTGCACTGCCCAGTCCTTTGCCATCCTCACAGTTGTTACCAGGCTGAAACCCATTGTCCCACCCACTATGTCAGTCCATCTTGTTGAGGACAGTAATGTCATATTAGTGATGACAGCTAAATAGAAATGTTATTATAGGAAGTAAGCTGTGTGGGTGTAGATGGTATCAGTGTTCTATGTAATAGCTGACTTAAGTAATGCCTGTGTAAGTAAATGTAGACTACCAACTGATTAGCATAGTGGGCAGTGGTTAAGGGCACTGGTATGGGCATGGATTCTGGACCTGAGCTTGAACAACTCTGTCACTTTCTGTATGGTGGTTTAACCTTTCTAACCTTCTATTTCCCCTTCTGTAAAAACATAGTTTTTGTTTTTTTTTTGACGTTTTATTTTGAAATAACTTGTACAACTTACAGAAAATTTCCCAAAACATATAACAAATATAGAATGGTTCTGTATCTTCTACTTCCCCCAAAGTTAACATCTTATATAACCACAGCACACTTACAAACACTGTTGTTGTTGTTGTTATTTGCCGTTGAGTCGGCCCGACTCATAGAGACCCCTCCTTGGGTTTCTGAGGCAGTATCACTACGTAAGTAGGATTGCCCAACCTTCTTCCCGAGGAGTGGCTGGTGGGTTTGAACCGCCAGCCTTCTGGTTAGCAGTCAAGTGCCTTAGGCACTATGCTACCAGAACACTGGTACAATACAATTAACTAAATCACAAACCAAAACCCAAACACGTTGCCCTGGAGGTCTATTCCGACTCATGGCCACCCCATGTGTTAGAGTAGAACTACTCTATAGGGTTTTCCTAGCTGTAATCTTTACGCAATCAGATCACTAGGCCTTTCTTCCCTGCACAACTGGTTTTGAATGTCAATTTCTAGGTCAGCAGTCAGTGCAAACCATTGTGCCAACCAGGGGCCTAAACTGGCCTTATTATATAGAGTTGTTTTGAGAATGACTACTGAAAGCATTAGACTCAGTGTCTGACATTTATTAAGGGCTGTGACTTG